GGACACGGGGGACACGGGGACACACACACGGACACGGGGACACGGGGACACACACACGGACACGGGGACACGGGGACACACACACGGACACGGGGGACACGGGGACACACACGGACACGGGGGACACGGGGACACACACGGACACGGGGGACACGGGAGGACACGCACAGGGACACGGACACAGGGATATGGGGACAGACACACAGACGCGGGTACAGGGACACACAGACGCGCAGGGGGACACACGGGCGAGCACGGGGACACAGGGGCAACACACGGACACGGGGGCACACAGACACGGGGACACAGGGACATGGAGACACACACTGACACAGGGATATAAGGAAGAGGGGTAACACAGGGATACGCACAGGGACACACAGACACAGGGACACACACACACGGGCACAGGGACACATGGACACGGGGATGGGGACACAGCAGCAGCACGCAGACACAGAATCACTGAATCACAGAATTGGTCAGGTTGGAAGAGATGCCATGCCACAGGATTGTATCCAGATGGTTCTGAGATATCTCCAGTGAGGGAGACGCCACAACCTTTCTGGTCAATCTGTTCCAGTGCACGATCACTTGCACAGTAAAGTTTTTCCTCATGTTCAGGTGGAACTTTCTATGCATCTCTTTCTGCCTATTGCCTCTTGTCCTAGTGGTTGCCACCACCAAGAACAGCCTGGCTCCATCTTTTTGGCACCCCCCATTTTGACACTTATAAGCACTGATCAGGACGCACGGGGTACCCAGGGCCGGTGCCCACACTCGGGGCCGCACACCGGGAGGTGCTGCTGCCCTCAGGGTGTCTGCACAACCCCAGGGCTGGGGAACGTGTGGGCGTTGCGTGTGGGTGGCACTCCTGTACACACACGAGGGTTTTGCACTCGCAAAGTGTCCCACACGTGCTTTGCGCTGGGGACATTTGGTGGCACATGGCAGGACAGGCCACAGCTGTGCTGTGGTGTCCCTGGGCCCCTCTCTGTGCTACCGTGTGGAGATGCCCCTGGCACTGTGTGCTTGCCAGAGCAACCCAGGTTTGTCACAGTTCCTGTGGCACATCGAGGGAGGCAGTGTGGTGTCCAGAGGGGTCAGGCATCGCAGGGTTCTGCTGCTGAGTGAAACACTCCTGTTTCTTAGCAGGACCTGCCTACCCAATTCCCAGTGGTATCCAGGGGCAGTGGCTGCCCCTCCAGTGGGGCTGCAGGTTTGCACCCCAGGGGCTCAGTGCCTGCACAGCCACCCTGCCTGTGGCAGCATAGGGAACAAGGATTACAGCAGCACCGTCCATGTGAGGAGGAAGATAGAGACCTGATGAAACATTGATGAAATAATCTACCCTCAAAATCTGACACACTTGGGAGCCACCGTGCAGCTGTCGGTATCCTGGTGTGTCCATCACCCTTACAGCCTGAGGATGAGGGTGGAGTGCTTGATTCTGTGTCACAGGAACTGTGGCATTAGGATTTGAAAGTTTAAAGGGATAATGACTTAAATATGGCAATTGTTTCTGATCCCTCCTGTCTCAGCCTCCTCCAGCTAGTGAGATTAGTGGCATACTGACTCCCTGCTCAGCCCCTGTAGTCCTCCCAGGGCAAGAAAGCTCTCTGCAGCACACCCACACCACCAGGGTCCCACCAGCGTGGAAAATGTTTCCAGCAGATTTACAACATTCTACATCCACATGGCTGTTTCTTCATGCTAATAAAAGCAGCAGGAGCTGAGTGTCACTGCCACCCAAAGCCACAATGCACGTTTGCTGGCACCGTTCAGGCAATGGGGGGGTGCCCACACATCCAATCCCAGAGAGCTGGAAAGAGCTCCAGGCTCCTGGAGCAAACCATTTCACTTCAGCCATGGCTGTTATGTTGCATTGCATTCCTGCTCTGGCAGTGCCACGACCTCAGAGGAGGTCATGCTGAGCCCTCCTGCCTGCTCACAAAGGCCACGCAGCTGGGTAGGTACAAAAGCCCCAAAGCAGGTATTTTTGTTTCATTTTTAATGAATTGCATGAATGCTATTCAAGCAGAGTTGTCCTGGTGCCTGGTGAACACCTGCCAGGGCAGATGCAGTGCCAGCAGGCACCTGGCACTTGGAACAGCAGGGAGCAGGGTGTCAGGCAGAGCCTGCTGTCTCTCCAAGTTCGGGGAAAAGCCTCTGGAAGAGAAAACAAGGGAGCAGACCCATCTCTTTCTGTCTGCTTACAAGTATAGTCAGGGCTAACCTCTCGGAAGTGCAGGGCCAGATACCCTAGAGGCAAGAGAGGACACATATAGACACCTGGGATGGAGTGATGCTGAGTTTCTGGACATTTTTAGACTTAAAATACAAAGGGCCAGATCTGATTTCTAGCAAGGAGGTCTGCTGACTTAGCAGCAGCATATGTCTACAGCCCTGCACTGGGAAACTTTCAAGACCCACAGTGTCAGTTCCCAGGCTGCAGGACCAACCCACCACATCTGCATGTTGCTGCTGCTAAGGCAGTGCCAACAGACACTGTAGATTCCTAGCAGGCCCAGAAACATCAAGACAAAAATGGGAAAAACACCTGGAGCTGTGTGATAAATGATTTTTTTCCCAGGACTAATACTTGCACATCACATCTCATACCCTTTTCCATCCATGAACTGGATGACTCACAGCAACAGCAGAGTTCGTGTCTGCACTTCAGGGTTTCTTTTCTTCACCTGTTAGCATTGACTCAATTGCAAAAGTCAGAGCAAGGCAAAAAGAAAAGGGGAAGAGTGATAGAGGGAATGACAGCAAAGAGTAACTCTGGGCTGGCAAACTATAGTTAGCAAAGAGGTTATTAAATTTCTCAGTTACATAGAGAAATTCTAATGGATAATAAAGCAAGCAACAAAGTTCATCGCTGGTCTGGTGCTGTGTCACTGTGTGCTGGGAGTTACATCTCAGCAGGGCAGTTGACTTGATCAGTGGGAATCATTTTGTCAGTGTCGATCTTGTAGGACTGGAGAACACTCTTCAGGTGCTCCACAGTTTCTGGGTGCAATTCAGGAGCTCTTGATAAAATCCAGGCGTAGTCCATGTGGAAGAGCCAGAGGATGTTAGTGCAGGAGTAAACCAGTGAGTAGTTTTCATAGTCGGTAGAGACAACCCAATAAGGGGCAGCAGGCATGACTGGGAGAGAGAAGGGCACTGTGAATGTGATGCAAAACCAACTCTGGATGGCTCTGCAGCACTACAGCCCCAGCTCCTGGGGCTGTTCCCACTTTGGTTGCTCCATAATTGTGGTCAGTACAGGGAGCTATAATTTATACAAGCCAACAAGGACTCCTTGTTCTGCCCAGACAAACTCCAGAGAGCCACAAAGCCCTGACTAGGAAGGACTTGCTGGAAAGTTAACACTATGACCTGAACAGCTCACCTGGGCCACTGAAAACCAGCCCAGCTCATACACGTGTGAGGGTTCTTGCTGGTGGGAAGGAGCTGACACTGGTAATCCAAGGAGCACAAACCACCACCCACTGCCACGGGGAGCCCTGGCTCATGGAGCCAGCTGGAGCCCAGCAGTGGGAATCAGTATAGCTCAGCCCATCCCAGCTAAGCCAAATTCCCTTCTCCATCAGGCAGCTACACCCAAAGCATCTGCTCTGATGACGGACAGCTACTCCAGCTTCAAACCACCAGGTGGAAAGCAAAGGGGGGTCTAGCAGGCAGGTGTAAGTGCCCTGGGATTTATTTCTGATGCCCTTAGGAGTGCCAGGCACTGTTCTCTGGGGTTCATGCCTGGTGAAGGTGGTTGGGGCTACACATGCTGCAACTGAAATGGCTGTGGGTGATGCCTTAGAAGCACAAAATGAAGTCTAGCTGTGCTCATGAACAATCATTGTATCTCCTTTGCAAGTACCCCTGCTCCAACCCATATCTGCAAATAAACCTCCCTGTGAGGGAGGGCTGTGAAACAGCCAAGGAAAAGGTGTGAGGGAGCAGAATAAAAAGAGATTCAAGAGGAGACTGATGCTCACTTTCCAGTGTTGCTGCGGACAGAGGAAAGTGCTGTGTAACATGAATAAAATGCACTGCACCTCAGCACGCCCCTGTCAAGTGTTACAGTGACAAGGGAAGGAAAAAGCAAAAGAAAATATATTAAGGGTTGTTAAAAGGCACTTATAAGCAGAGGCAGAGTGGGCTACTAGCTATACTGCTGTGTGCAGAGAAATAAGCCTATTCCTGGCCCTTACACTGGCTGTGGGGCTGCCTCCCCCGCCTCCCCTCCTCCCTGTCCCCATCTGTGACATGACCTGGAGGAACAGTAATGCTGCTGGTCTTTCTTGCTTTGAGATCAGCTGGTGAGAAGAGCTCCACCACTGAGCGGGCTGTTGCTGTAAATGGCGTATCGGTATCATCAAACCACTGCCTGCTGGTCCCAAAGTCTGTCCTAACCCTTTGCCACTGCCCCATTGTGCCACGCTGAAGTCACCAGGAGAGCTTCACCCCTTGCTTTGCTGTCTCTGACCCCTGATGCCATGGCAGCAGTGCCTGCTTCGTGCTGCCCGCGGTGGTGCTCAGACCACAGCACAGCCGAGGCCACGGGCACCAGGAGCCTCCCCCCCCCACACTTACACCAGTTAAAGCGGACGCCCAGCTTGGCCGGCTGCTTTACATCCATGTGCATGAGTTCTCCTTCAGCTTCATTGACTTTGCCATTGGAACTAAAGGGAGAATGACAAAGGTGAGAAATAAAGTCAGGAGAGTGGGAAATAATTATGGTTTTTTGCTTCCACTAAATCATCCTTCCGGACACATCCACTGTCAGGAGGTGGCTGAAACAGGTACTAGTGAACCCCAGCATTCCTGGAGGGACAGCTCATCCCTGAGGATGAGCTGCACCCAGGGCACAGCAGATCCTGGGCCAGGTGCAGCAGGTCAAATGGTGTCCCAGGTCAAACCACCCTAGCACCCCAGGCTGCCTCTCTCCAAGTGCCCCTGCAAGTATGGTGTCCTTTGGTGCCAGGGTGACAATGACAGACAATATGGAGAGCAAGACCTCTCTGTATGGGATGGAAGGATCCCAGCACTGATTTTGGATGTGCCAGGGAGCAGCTCAACTCCTACTGGTTGTGGAAGGCACATGTTCACATCTGTTTATTTACCTGCGTTTTTTCCAGGTCACTGCACATTCCTCCTCACACAAATTACCTGTACCTGCATGGTGAGCCAAGGTTTGTTTGGCTGCTGGTTTGGAGCACTGCCCTGCTGGCAGCAAGCCCTATGACTTGGGCTGCCTATCTTATAATTTCATTTTCCCCTGTATGCCTCAAGACCTGGACGCTGCCTGCAGGGCAGGAAAGTTTCCCGCTTCCTTGTGAAACAGGAACAGCCAAGGAGGCAAAAGCAAATCCTGTCAGCAGCAGAGGTCAAGGGGCTGATACTGTAGGGATGCACAGTGCAAACTGACCCAAAACATTCCTGATATTTCAGGGTTCTGAGCTGCTGCAGTGGGCACAGCAATGGTTGGATTAACGTCCCACAGATCAATGCAGGCGCAAATGAATGTCCAGCTGTTTGCCAGGCGCTGCCCCAGCAGTGGAGCTGCTGAGACAGTGCTGAGCAGTCAGTGAGAGGCAAGGATGCTGCTCTCTCCGGACACAAGGGATGTGTTCCTACATTGTTGTTGTTATTGTGAGCTAGAACAAAGTGCCCTTGCCATGCTGGGAGCACAGGGGACAGCGCTGCGCTCACCGCTCTCTCTCTCTCTCATTCATTCAGCCCCTCACAGCAGCAGCCCATGACAGCCAGGGCTGGTGATGGAAACAGATGAATTCTGCATCTGTCCATGCAAAAATCCAGGAGGGCTCAGGATAATTATAACCTCTCAACTGTAATAAAGGGAAAAGCATTCACTTGGCTACTGTTTTAAACTGATATCGACTGCTGATCCTCTTACACAGCAGTTACTACCTGTGCAAGGTAAATGCTCCAGAAGACAGCTGACAAATATTTAAGTAAAACTGACCCAGATGTTTCACCTTCCCTGCCATTTTTCATTGAGTCCCTTTACTCTGGAACAGAGAAGAGCACAAGGCACAAGCACTTCTCAGCATGCAGGAGCACAAGGTGGTGGCTGCCATCCCATAACCAGCCTCTGGGACAGGATCCAGGGCATCCAGCTTCTTAGCCATCACTGGGGGTCACAAACTGGCCAGGGGGTAGACCCAGGCGATTTCATACTGAAGTCACCACATGCTCTTGATCTATTTTCTCACCATTCAACTTGGACAATGAGACAGAGACTTGGTGAGCCCCAAGGAAGCACTGGCAGGAACTAGAGACCCACATCTCTGCCGTAACCCCAGCAAAGCCCCTTATCTCAGCAGACCTACTGTGATCTGTCTGCACCCCCAGACACAGAAACAGGCAATTTAGAGAAAAATAAACACCCATAACAGCAAGAAGGTGACAGAAGTGCCACTGCTGCAGTGAAAATGTGGCCCGAACGCAAACACTTACAGCATCTCCTTGTTGATCACCTTGAACTTCCCATTCTCCTTCAATGAGTAATTTGCCTGGATGCAGCTTCCTTTCTCAAAAGTTGAGGGCAGCTTCTCTATCTCATACCATTTCCCCAAATACTGACAGAAGAAAGTTTAAAGAGATGCTTTTAGCATGAGTGGGCTGAGACAGAGCAGCCCAGCTCATTCGCCAGCACAGTTTTTGCCTCTCTATGGCACAGGGAGCGTGGGGGGTTGGCAGAGGCACAGACCTTCCCTGGCAGCTCCAGCACAAGGCATTGAGACTGGACCTGCCAACTTCCCTATGCACCCAGGGAGTTTGCCATCAGTCTTATACCCCCTTAGCCTAACTCAATACCCCCTAAAAGACTGTTAGAAAACTTTTCACACCTTCTCGATATCGAAGTCTTCTTGGACTGATGGATCTGGGCATGGTCCCATATGAAACATCTGGCTTTTTCCAACGCTGAAGACGCTCAGCAGGACTGAGAGCCGCACTGCCGTGCCCAGCATGGCTGCACTGGGATGCAGGCAGCAAACAGACCTGAGGAGAAGGAAAATAGCTGAGCTGGGGCCTCCCTGGAGCAGAACTTTGTGTGAAATACGGCATGAAAATTAGGATGTGTGCAGCAGAACACATCAGTGGCACAGCAAGGAGGAAAGAATCATGAGAAGAGCACAAAGGCACTGTGCCAGAAAAGTGCCCAGCTCAAAATGGTCTTAAGCCCTGCCAGTGCTCAAGCTGTGCCTAACAGCTGTGCAAAAAACCAGGTGAGTCTGGTGAGAGCACTTGTACTCGTCACCCACATGTGACACCCAGCAAGATGCAGGGATGATAAACCTCTGAGGACACACAGGAGCATCATTGTCCAGTGCTGAGGCAAAGGGATATGAAGAGATGTTTGCTTTAAAATGATGGAGCACAAGGAATGTGATCCAGAACCAGCACAGAGCTGGGACCCTGGAAATGGAAGCTGGCAGTGTACACCTGCAGGAACCTGCATGGCAGGAGAGACATCCCCATGGACGCCAGGGCTGCCTGACACTGCAAGGTGGTGGGAGAGACAGCACAGCTGCCTCTGGAGGAGTCGTTGTGTGCAAAGACATACATAGTACTGCAGGATGGGGAAGTTGGTAAAGATTCAAATCAGCACCAAATGCAACATGAACCAATCCCCAAAAGCATGGTGTGATGAGGGAAAGGACAGGGTTTCCTGCAGAGCAGAAGCAGGAGCTGTGCTGCTCATAGCCAAGCAGCCCCTGGATCCAGGATGCTGCCCAAGTGCTTTGGGTTCTGCTCGAGCAGGTTGGCATGTACAGACCCTGCAGCACAGGGCTGCTCTGCTTCCCAGGCCAGAAACTCCTCTGCAGGAGCAGTGGTAACATTTTCCCCAAGTTTAAAAGAAAAGCCCAGTCTGTCTCCAGCAGCAGGAATGAGCCCCACTGCAGACCAACATTTCCCATTTTGAATCTCTCAATTCAGAAACGTACCTTGTGAATGAGGAGGAGTGATGCTCTGCGGAGGACCAGGGCTGCAAGGCACAGCTCTGTGGTGAGCTCTCTGCTTCGCTTTATAAGTGTGCTGGGAGCATCATTATTCAACAATGGCACAAGCCACTCCCTGGTCCTCGACGTGTTTAGGTTTTTTGGCAGGCCAGTCAGCTGCCTTAGATCTGCAGCTGGAATGAAGCTGGAGATGGGCTGCAACTTGGCTGCTCACCCAGGCAAACAAAGGCACCTCACGTGTCTGGGTATCGCCCCACAGCTGCGGAGCTCTCTGCCTTTCAGCTGCTCACAAGAGCCTCAGGCCTGGGTGCAGATGGCAGGGGAAGGGGAGAAGTGCCACAGCCTTTGAGAGGGGCTGGGGACAGCAGCAGCTCCTGTCCTGCTCCCTCTCATCCAGGAGCAGCCAGCCATGCTCCCAGGGGGATGTGCAGCCTCCTCTGCCAGGGGCCACTTGAGCCCTGGAGACCCTCTGGGCCACTGCAATGTCCTTGTCCCCACCACAATCACTTGCAGGAGTATGTGAGGAGGATTAAGCAGCAGGAGACATCACAGGTTTATCTGAGGAGCTGTAAGACCTTTCAGCAGTTTTTCTCTAGACTTTCAAATCTCACTATGGGGAAAGATGCCGGTGCAATTAATTCCATGCTGACCTGGCACTTTTTCCAACAGGTGCCCAGCAAATGCCTTTGACAGCAAAGCAGCCATCTGTGAAGGCAGCCAGTCCCAACAGTTACGCAAGGATAGCTGAGTAATTGACAGGAAGTTCTCTGTGTTTAATTACATTTTCTTTTAATCTGATCTCTGTGGAGACATTCTCTCTAGGTGTGTTTTTACACGCATTTTACATGTACTGCATGCCTTACATGCACACACACACTTGAACTCCTGGCTGCCCAAATGCCACCCCAAGAGCCACAGATAGCTCAGCCCTGTCCCCTTCTGGGGCTGTGCAGCCAAGGTGTGCCCTGAAACGTGGCCACAGCTGAAGTGCTCCCAGGACCTCGATGGCCATCACAGCTGTGCAGGGCTCATCCAACACAGACCCAGCAGCACCAGCTGGGGGTGAATAGCTCAGGGGAGCACCAAGTCCATGGTCTGCCACAGTGCTTGGCACAGGGCAGGGGAGCATGCAGGGGCTCTCCCTGCCTGCACACAGCTCCATTAGCTCTTGGGCAGCCACCCATGTCCCTGATGAGGTGGCTCTGGCTGCCCATACCAAAGTCAGAGGTGTCCTCCAGACTCTTTGCAAACCCCACATTCACCTCTACCTCTTGTGATAGAAACAGGTTAGAAATCAGAAAATCGGTGTAAGCACTGCCCTGCTTCAGTGCACTGCAGAGATGGGATTCCCCATGCACAGCAGACCAGCAAGAGCAGTTTTTCTGCTGAGCTTGGCTGACCATATCCTGCAGAGTAACCAGAGGAGAAAGCCCCACAGAATGGCCAGCCTTGGCTCAGCCTTGTGTGCATGAGTACAACCATGTGGAGGTGTGCCTTGTGTGCATATCTACATCTGCACGTGGAGCATTCTCCTATGGGATGAAGCATGGACTCCCTGATGGTGGTGGCAGTGATGGAGTGGTTCTGCTGCAGCAGGAGGGGCTCATGCTTGCACTGGTCTACAGGCACTGCCCAGCACCCAAGGGCTGCCCTGCAATGCTGGCCCTGCCAGAGACGTGGCTGGGTGGCTGGGCACTGCCATTTTGGCTCCTGGCACCCTGCAGCCAGAGTCACACTGAAACAGCAAGGCATCCACTCAGCCACGCTCCATGGAAACAGCTGCAGCAGTCTACATTCACCTGGGACATGGCCAGGAGGCTGTGAGGAGACAAGAGCCACCGTGAGCTGATGCTCCTTGAGCCACCGAGAGTGGCGAGCACAGGTGGGGTGGGCTTTGCTATAGCCATCACCTCCCTCACAGCCAGCACCAAGAGCAATGGAAGAAAACCCATGTCTTGGTAGGAGACACAGGGATCCCACCTCCAGCCAAGGGCAGCACACTCAGGAGCTCAGGGGCTGCAGTGGAGTCCAGCTCCCCCACTGGCTGGTGCCAGCCAAGAGGCACCCCATGGGTGCTGAGGCACTGCACAGCTTGAGGCACAGGTGATGAGAGCTGACAGCTGAGCTTGCTGCCCCTGCTGGGACCCGTCTCTACACAAGCACTGGCTGAGGCTTCCCCAGGGGCACATTTCTGGGCTCTGCTTGACCACAGCGGGAAGCACCCAGATATCTGCTGCTCCTCTGCTGGAATGGAGCAGGCTTGGGCTGTTGCAGCTGAGTCTCTGCTCAGGGCCACCTGGCCAGAATGTGTTCAGTGGCCATGCCAGGACATATCATACCACCTTCAGCACCCACCAGCACCACTCGTCTGCACAGACCAAGGTGTCTGTCCTCAGCCCGCAGCAGGACTCTACTCTGAGCCCATCCACCTGTGCTGCACTCCAGAGCAAGGGTCCAGAGAAAAGCATAACCTTATAATTGCACCTAATTGTGGGGTGGGAACAGTCATCTCCACCTGGTAAGCAGTTTGTACCCTGGAGCAGAGGAGGGGAGGCACATCAAAGAGCAGGAAGCTGGAGCAGGGGTGGGAGGACAGGAAGGAGGAGAGCTGGGGAGAAACCAGGGCAAAAGGGGGGGGCACCAGACATGTTTGGAATGCTTCATGCAGGATTGAAGCCTCCCCCACATTTCTGGGTGATGAGGCAGCTGCAAGGCAGGCAGGCAGGGCATGTGCACAGGACATGGACAGGGAGGTACCGCAGGGGCTGCAGGAGGACAGGGCAGCGCTGCCTGTGAGGCACAGGGGTGTGGATGGGGTGGGCAACATGCACACATGGGGAGGCAGGAGTGGGTGCAAAGCATACACAGGGTGAGGTGGCACGAGGCACACAACATGTCCAGGGTGGCAGCTGAGGCAGCACTGTGCATGGGGCACTTTCAAGTGGGCTGTGTTGGCTGGGCTAGTCTCGCGTTGGAAGAGACAAGACTCGCTGGTCCCAGGGAGAGGAGACAATGGCACTGAGTGCTGCCAGCAAAGAAAACCCCCTGGTTAGAACAAGCTGGAGCTGCAGATAAAGTTCAGGCATCTGAGGGCTGGGACAGGGCAGTGCCACTCCACCCATGACATTCTACCTGCAGGCGACCTGGCTTAGTAGAGAAGTGAGATCGTCCGATTGCGTACCCCAGACCACACAGAAATCTGCTTTGGCACCCACATAACAGAGAAACTTCAGCCAGCCAGGCCTGGTGGGGACCTGGCTCCCCAGGGAAAGACTGTCATATCATACTGGGTACCCAGCTGGGATTTCAGCAGCTGCAGAGAAGCCCCCAGAAACTTTCCACCTGCCTTGAGATGAGAGAGCAGCTGGAGAGACATTGTCCTCTCAACCCTGTGATGATATCCTTGGCATTACTTAGGATAGTCAAGAAGCTGCCCAAGCTCCTTATCAAGAGAAAAAGCCTCCAGTGGAAGCACTGCAGGAATCAGAAGCTCTGGGCATATACTTTCCTTGTAGGACACCACCAGTGCCAGTTCTGGTAGCTGCTAGCCCTGGGTTCCCTGCCTATCCCCACAAGGAAGTTTTCATCTCCTGATAGTGCCTCAGCAGCCCAAACTCACGGGGGCTGGAGAGCTGCCACAGACATGGCCATTTTGTGCCATTCTGCATGAACAGATCTTGTGTGCAGGCCTGCTGCCTTTGGAGACCCAGTGCTGGAGCCTCTCTGTGTGACCTGCAGCGTTGAGGCATCATATCCTGGGAACCAGGATAATCTGGGAGTCCTGAGAGTCCCACCATGGAGACAATGTTGTTTGCATAGCCAGCTCTTCCCAGCTCAGGACATGCCTTCCCTTCCTTCCTCTGTCTTTTCTCTGGCAAGTTAATTTTTGGTGCTTTTCTTCCTCCTCTGAAAGAAATGAGGCTTTGGGTTGGTCAGACAAGTTTCAACATGTATACAGAAACAAAAATTAACTTGCAGGAGATAAAACAGAGAAAAGGAAGACAGGTGGGAATTTTCCTCTGTTTTCAGGAGTAGCAAAAAGTGCTTTGAAATCCATTTATGCAAAATGGTGTCAAATTTTAAATTACACGTATGACAGCAAAGGAAGTAAACAGACTCTGGAAGTGTGAACTGGCCTCTGGGATGTGGGAATTTGGTCCAGTGCAAGTGTACAAAAGATGTTGTGATTCATCTATATACTATTAGTGAGTAGCTCTCCGCCCTAAAAATTAACCAGTTATGTATTCAAAACACAAGAAACTAAAGAGAGAGATTTAAGAAGTTGGAAAACCAAAAAGGATATTATTATTTAAGGGACAAACCCTAAGGTGAAGGAGCAGCAGTGTTTCTGGCCTGGCTGAGGAACTGCTTGGCACTGCTGCCACGATCCAAGTCCCTGCAGAGAGAGGAGCCAGAGGGATATTTATTCCTCAGAAAGCAGAAAAAAACAAAACAGAAGAAAATCAAGGTCTCTGTATAGAGGAATACATTGCAGAGCTGGACCAGTGGTAAAGCTTTGGCTCAGTGGCAAAGCTTTGGCTCAGTGGCATCTCACTCCTGTGAGTGGGCTCACCATAAAAATGAGAGTTCCAGCAGTGTCCATAATCCTGGACATCCAGTATTCCCAGTGCCCCACACTGAGGGCAGCCTAACACTGCTAAATAAGGTAAAAAAGGTTTTGTTGATGCATTTGCTGCTGCGTTCTCACAGCAGACACCGGGTACAGGCAGGGCAGGTGTTCAGCCAGGTCTCGTCCTCACGAGGGCAGCGAGGAGTGCACAGCAGAAGGGGGCAGAATAGGACTTCTCCAGTGGATGTGGGAGCAGATCCCATGGGCATTTACCAGACTCCCATGGGCCCTGCCTGTGGATGCCTGCTCAAGTTTAAATCTCATGGGCACTGCAGGGCCCTAGCTCCATGGCTCAGCTCGGCTCAAGGTGCTGCTCTCCCCTCAGATGTGTCCTCTTGTGCCCTGCTGAGCCCAGCCCAAAGAACACCCCAGCTGCCCTGCTCTGCATCCCCTTCTCAGAGAACATCTCACACATTCCCCAGCGGATTCATGATGCTTTTCTCTGGACCAGCAACCTCCAGCATACTGAAATATATTTTAAATGGTCTAAAAAAGGTCATTAAACATGCTTAGAGAGAGCCTTCTGCAAAGGGATTTTCTGTTCTCCTGGAGGAGGCACAGTGATCTGTTCACGGAATCACCAGCTCTGTCCAAGAGATGCTCAGGTAAAGCTATTTAAAGCCCACAGCCCTATTTTCTGCAGTTAAGCCATATTTCAGCCCTTAGCTCAGGGATGCATTAATGCAGTTACACAATTATATTTTCTATGACCTATATACAACCTACATCTTCCTCATGACACAGATTTATAGTGTGTAGGTAATCGCAGCTCTGCTCACAGAGAGAGAGATTGGCCTCTACTGCATTAAGAAATGCAATTAGGGAATCTCCTGCAGATTATGCTTCCTGCCAGCCAAGCGAGAAGCCCTTCAGCAGGGACACAGGATCCCCTGCTGCGGGAGCACTGCAGAGCATCAGCTACCCGGAGTGCAGGAACCACACACAGAGTTCAAGGGTGGCCTCAGACCCTCAGATATCCCCCACTTGTAGGCCTCAAGGCTGTTTTATATTTGTTTTATATATGCACCAGGAAGACCCAGGGGCAGCATTTTGGCCCTGATGGACTTCTCCACCAGCCAGCACAGCGTTTCCACCCCGTATCTCTGAGCCCCCCAATCTCACACCACAGGTCAGAGGAGAATTTTAAGAATGCCCTTTCTCAAAGAGCAAGTCACATCCCTCTGCACAGGCTGTGGAGCACAAAGACACTGGCATATGTGTTTGGCTTTGCCCATGAATAGCTGCATTGAGGCTGGGCCTGAGCACACACAGCTTGCATTGAAACACAGGCCTAAGTGTTTGCTAGACTGGGGTTTATGCTGTACAGAAAATAAATAACATAAATTCAGTGGTCAGTAATTTTGATGCAATATGTAGTTACAGTTTGAAACAGCACAGAGATACCATTCATGGTGAGTTTCATTCAAACAAGTTGGGAGATTTTAGGAATGATTAGTTTAGACACTAGTAAAAATGCTGTGCTGTACCCCAGGAATACTAGTCAGGCATGTATTTTAGTGTAAAGAGACCTGGGGTGAGAACACATATGCATTATCAAATTATCTTGAATTTTTATGACAACACATGTTATTTCTTCCATTCCCCAACATAATTATTCTTGAAAAATTCTTGAGAACAAAATCTTCTCACACCTGGACAGATGTAGAGCAGTGTAAGAACTTCCTTGGGATGCAATGGATCAACCTGGGGCTGATTTTGAGTCTGTAAGTGCCCACGCACAGACAGGGCTGGAAGCTAGCTCCTGGCTCGTGCCTGCAGGAGGAAAAGCTGCCTGAGCCAGGAGCTGAACCAGCTGTGCCAAGTGCCATGCCTGCCCCCAGTGAGCTGGGGGCTTCCTGCTCCTGTTAGTGCTGCAGGAGGGGAGCAGCCACCTGGTAAAAGTGTCCATCCCCAAAGCCTGAGGGAACCAGGCAGCTCATGTGTGACTCACGGGTGGAAAAGAGACAGTGGGGCAAAAACAAGGTCCAGATGTGCTCTTGGGCTACAGAGTTGTAGGGACTCGCTTGTCAAGCAGGTGTGCAGCAAAAGAACACGTGCAGGGAGGGGATGAGGTTGGGACTTACATAGTGTGGGGGCCAAGAGTATGTGAGAAAGATGGGGAGGAGAGGTATTTCCTGCATATGCACGTGGTGTGGCAGCAAAAGCCAGTAAAAGCACTGGCAACATCCCCACACCAGTGCTGGCCCTGGGAAAACTCAGTGTTGGAGTCTCTTACTGGGATGGACAGACCACTGAACCCACTGAGTCACTGTGTCCTCCACCTCCTCTAGGGAACCTCATGCCAAGAGCCAAGCCACCTCACTGTCTCATCCTCTTTAAAGATGGCCATTGCCACCTTGAAGCCTTTCCTCAGTCCCCAGGCAGATTTTCTGCAGGCACTTCCCCATTACCAAGGTATTGGAGCACTTGATCCCCATCTTCTTTTCTGGAGGGCTGCCAGGGTAAGTACCTGCACAAGCACTTGTGCTCTGCCTCCCACAGGAAGAGAAGCTGCAGAGCCATACTCCAGACACCCACTGGATGTCTCTGGTGGGATGCAGGGACTGACACCCCTCCCTGTAGTAAGTGATGGAGCTGAAGGGCCTTGTCAGGGAGCATTCCCTCTCCCAACAGCTCCCTCCTTAGTCATGCTTCCAGGAGCAACGGTTGCCTCTCATTAGAGCTGGAAAGGGAAAGTTCTTTGCTGTGCTCCAAATGCTTCAACACCTCCGAGCAGGCAGAAAACAGGAAGGAAACATGAGGACAGCCTGCTGACTGATTGTCATAGTAACCCTGGTTAAAGTCCCACCAGGAAAATGACTTCTCTTGAAGCACTTGACCCCACAAGGTAACAGGTGCTACCTGCACCCCTGGGAGCAAAACTGCTCTGGCAGAGAGGCCCTGGAGCTATGCAGTAAAACACAGTGCAGAGCTCTCTCCTGACTTGCAGCTCAAGGTCCCTGGGCAATGTGCCTGTGGGGTGATGGTTAACTTTGGCGCCCTTTAAAAGCAGCACAATGGTGTTAATGGTGTTAATGCCTGCCCTCAATCCTGGCACATTCCTCTGTGCAGCTGTAGCAGTTCAGAAGACTTTGTAAGACTTGTAGCGGCTTTCATGCAGAAGATAGGAGATGCCACATTTATTATTCTGCCACAAAAAGTAATTGCTCTTCCTGCACCAGCACTCTGCTCCTCTCATCCCCAGACACCCACCCAGAGCTCCCCATCTAGGTAGAAAACAGATCAGGCACTGGCTGAGCACTTCTCAGGGGGCAGAGGAAGGGACTGGGGCTCACATGCTGTGAAATCCTAACCCTGACTCAACCACAAGGTCCTGCATGGCCTTGGACACTTCTTGGCTTGCCAGTCTCTGTCCTGTCTGTGAGAAGAGCTAATCCTTATTACCAGGCAGCTGTAGCACTTAGATTAGTTACACAGAGCACTGAGGCAATGAATAATGCACAGCACTGCTCTCAATGCTGTCCTTCGAGGGAAATCACATAAAACACAAACACTGACTATGTGTATGTTTGCAGAGAGGCCTCTCTAGCTGCCTTCTGCTGAGGAAACAGACCATGCTGTCTGTTCTGCTCCAGGAAGTTCTCACTGAGCTTCTACAGTCCCACTATCTGCTGAAGCATCACCACCACCTTAATTACTGAACTTTATAAAATATCGGCCTCAGATTCTAAAGGGGTGAGAAAACCAATGTAGAAATGAGCACTGGAGCCAGAGATATATGCTTTACAAATCTCACAGTTTATTTTTCTCTCTGTGCAAATCAGAGCTACTTAGCAGTAATCATATTTCACAGTGCAGGGGGAAGAAGTGATTAAAACACTGTTTAAGCTGCAGTTCAGTGGGATCCTTCTAGGTCCTGGATCCCAGGGAATCTCCATGTGCTGATGATCTGGAATAAAAAAGAACTTCACAGCAGTATTTCCAGGAGTTGTTACTTGTAATACAAGCTGCTTTGACAGCATCTCCAAGGGAAGTCTGCTTTCCTCCTCAAGGCATCACAGCATTCATGGCTGCATGCAGACTCCAAGAATTTACAGCCAGTGGCAATCAAAAACTTTAAGGCACAGTTACCACATCAGAGCTAGCAGAGACAGATGAAAAAAGAGCAATCAATAAGCTCTTTTCACAGCCACTGAATCTCACATAAGGCAAAACAGTGGAAGGAAAAGCTGGTCCCTAGAGTAAGAGGGTGGGGTACCAGCTTGGCCAGCAGCACCCGCAGCCTGCTGGCTGCTCCACCAGTGGTTACCACTGGAACAGAGGGAATAGGGCATGAAGCCAGGCAGCCCCAGCACTTGGAAAAATTATTGAAATCCTGTATATGGCCAACAGGAGAGACCCTTGGAGATACTGGGCAAAAGTAGCCCAAAACAGTTATCAGGAGGTTCTCAGAGAAGATGATTGTGTGACATGCAGATTTCACTGTGCAATATTAAAGGTAAGAAATATGCCTCCTAAAGGACCTTTCCAGAGCTCATAGTCAGGTCATGCTGCTTGCACACTGTCCTGTCACTGTTCAGGCACAGAGGATTAAACCAAAAAACTGATTTGGGAAAGCCAATAGCAGCTCCCTCACCAGCAAGAGGGAGTCTGGATGGGACAGGGATGTGAGGGAAGCAGGGGGAGTGTCGGTACCACAGCTGAGTAGTTTAGGCACCTAAGGTAGCAGTCAGAGGAGCCAAATTTGTTTGCTACATCAGCTTAAACCTTGTTCCGCAAAGCTCTGCAGCAGCAAGTGGAGAGAGGCTGCAAATCCCAGCACCCACAGGGACTGACTGAGGGATGGCTCAGACCTCACTCATTATTAGAAGCGCTTTTACCAGCTCAGCCTATCCCCAGTTGTTTGCTCTGGCATCTCCTGGCCACAGCACAGGGAGGGAAGAGCCCTTCTTTGCAGCTAGGTAATAAGGCTATTTAGAGGCAGTGTGGCTGTTTCCCTGGAAAGAGCAGACAGTCACAGTGCAGCAGAGCTTCCTAGCAGTATCATAAAAACAATGGAAGGCTGTGACTGACCCATTTTCAATCAAAAGGAAAACTTTGCTTTGGTTTCCCATTTTATTTTTCCCTTTGAGCCATCTCATAGCAACAGCTTTGCTCTGCTATTAGCAGGTCATCCTTGTAAGGAAAAGCAAGAGCCCATTAATGAGCCAAATTTATCGCTGGGGGAATTCTGCTGACCCAATTACACTAGCCACATATTTGATCCATTATGTTAACCTTCCTCTGCCTCCTAGTTAAAAGGAAAATACCTTTCAACTTTAATCAGGACAGTAGGGAATACAAAAAAGAATTAGGAAAAAAAAAGAAACAAAAAAACTATGCTGCTCTAGCATTCCACAAGACACGACTTGAAGCCATAATCCTGCATCTACAGGGGAGACACATCAGCAAGGAGTGCAGAGGTGAGCTGTAACCTGTGCGTGAGCACGAGCCCTGGAAGGATGCCAGAAGGATGGCCATTTACAGGGTGGCTCCAGGGATGTAAAGCCAGTCGGCAATGGCCGTGGGCAGGTGGGTCATGACCTGCAGCCTCACCCACCAGTAGGTCTCCATGGGATTGTAGCGGTTGTTGGGGCACGGGGAAGTGAGCGCATCAGTGATGTCATTCACAACCAGAGACATGTCCTTCAGGCCACTGTTAACAAAGGACTTCATCATGGCCACGTGGCGAGTGAAATACTCCCCCCCATAGTCCTCCCGCACGGTGTCACTGGCCCCGGCCCACAGAGCCTCGGCCTGTTTGTCGATGCCCTCTGCCGTCAGGATGCCGGTCGCTGCCACGAAGTTACTGGGCTCCACGAGGATGACTCTGACACCCCAGCGGTACATCTCCTGCCTCAGGCAGTCGGAGAAGGCTGCCACCCCAAACTTGGACACGCAATAGCAGGAGCGAGATGGACTCACCATCCGTCCCAACATGCTTGTGATATTCACCACACGGCCTAGAGAGAAAAGAGCAGGGAGGGATGATGGGCTGCAGAAGCAGCAGCCAGAACATCCCAGTAAAAGGGTGCTTAGTTGGATGATGCTGATTTCTAAGATCTGAATCTTGAAGAGGCATACAAATCCCCTGTCAAGGAGCCTTTCTCTCCTGATTCAAGCAAGGCTAACCCCTGCTCTGACCTCCTCCACGGATGGTGTACATGCCTGCCACAGTATCAAAAACAATTTACAAATCATACAAGACATTTCCCTCTGAATTTCCAAGTACGGAAGTACCCAGATCTGAGCCTGCTAGCTGTGTGTTCTCACATCAGTGTGCCCCACTCCTTGTCCTGCTAGAGAAGGGTTCAAGGTTCCAGCCTGCAGTGTTACGAGCTGCAAAGCTCATAACTGTGTGATGCCATACAAGCATTCTGGTTCTTGCTGTAAGCAAGACAGCTCAACTGCAGTCCCTCTGCCCAACTCAGCTACATGCTTCTAGACACGAGCTGGATGCCAGAGAATGAGTAGAGAGTTCTCTGAACGTGCAACATGAGCAGCACAACCTGTTCACCCAGCTAGTTGGCCACGAGGGCCTACAGTGTCCATGCCTGAGACAAACAAGGGGAGACTTGATGTGCCACTGTCCATGGGGCAGTAGAGACCAATTGTCCTAACTCCTGCCAGCAGCCCATGACAGCCCAACTCCAGAGCTCTGGCAGCTTGTGTTAGATCAGGCACCGTCTCGGGATGGTGCCAGCAGTGGTCACTCCTCTGTGGGTGTCTCTGCCCTTACCCAAGACATGCCGTGTGCAACTACAGTTTCAGATGCACTTACACAGAAGCCCTTGAAATCCCACCAGCCATTTTTACAGAGAGGATTTTCACATCCACAGAGCCCAACATCCTTCTGCAGCTTGAAATTTTAGCTGAGAAACAAGTGAATAGCTCTGCTGTCTCATTCCAGACCTAAGTGTAACTTAAGAGAGACTGTGGGAACCACCTGCTGACCTGAGGGGTAAGATCCCTTCTGCAGTGAGATGGAGCTTGCTTAGTGGTTACTTGCTTTCTGGAAACGGTATCTGAGCAATCTTCTCAATACACCCCCTTTCTGTCCTCACAGAACACACACCTGTGCCAGCATTCCCACACATACCAAATAAAGAAGCTCTTCAGAGTTCTGCTCATACATACCTTTTTTATATAAAACAAAGAGTTTTGATAATACCATTGTCTTGTAAGATATCTAAATTGGCTGCTATTGACTCATTTATTCCATCACTACCTGAAGTCATCTGTGAACTGAATAACATGAAGGGAGAAGATTCAGTTATCCAAACACAAGCACTCAGTGGACTCTGGATTATCTTGTCTGTGTGATATCTGCCAGCATTACACAAAGGTCTCTGACATCCTGGATGTTTAAGATAACACCTGCAGTGTAGGTGCCTGGCCTGCCCCAAGAGTGCCCTCTACTACCAAATGCTTACACTGCATGCCTCAGACAGCCTCCTTGGACTGCACAGGCATTCCTCCAAGCACAGCCTGGATTTTTAGCTACATCTCTTTGCTGTGCTACAATAGCTCCGAGCCTTGCCACACAACCCAGTATGTACCTTTAGCTCTTCGAATGAGGGGCAGGAAAGCCTTTGTCACCCTCACAGTGCCCCACAGGTTGACCTCTGCCACCTTCTTGTAGTTGTCTAAACTTGCAAATTCCACCTCTCCGAAGGTTGAGACGCCAGCGTTGTTCACCAGGCCCCACAAACCTGCCAAAAAACACATGGTTGAAGAGTGGAACAAGGAAGAGTGTCACAGAAAAGTCACCCTCCTTGTTATTCACAGTAACCTAAAATCTTAATAAAGAACTGGGGACTTCTAGAAAAAAAGGTTGTAGAGCAAAACCCAGCAAGGAGGTGAAATACACTCTTGGTATACTAGGGGTTTGTTTGCAATATCAAGGAGAGTGATCAGGCCAAACAAGCTTTGCCTCCCTGAATGCCTACTGTAAGGTCACATGCTGTTCTGGGGCTTCTCATGGCTGGATCTTTCCATGCCTCCTGTTGGTCCCAGGTTTGTCTTTGTTCAGTGATGTTATGCATTTTTGGAGGGGGCTCAATTTACCCACAATTAAAAAAAAAAAAGGCAAGGAAAACAAATATCATGGCTTTCTAAATCCCACTCACAACTCTGACTCACTCTTTTGGAGAGTGCATGGTATTGATCTGCAAGTTCATGGCCTGATTAACAGTTGTTGTGTTTTAGTCCAAGTATCTGTTTCCCTCAACTCTAACTAAGGGTCAACAAACTTACAATGAACCCTTACAACTACTAGAATTTAAAAATGAACGTCTCCTCTGCATCCAAAGACTGTCAAAATTAAGTTGACTGCACTTACCAAAAGCTTCTGCACTGAGCCCCTTACATGTCAGGACTTATCAGCTCACCAAGGACTTGACCATTCAAAGCAATTACTGCTGGAGTCCCAGTGGCAAATAACTGCATGACTAAATCCACACTTCATGGATTTATTGAAATATTGGACTATGCAGCCATAAACTGCATGAGGAGCAAAGAGAAGAGCTGGAACAAGATAACAGAGCTGCTCTTTATTAGATGTCCTGCTATACACCACGGTTATTTTGCACTGTGTTGGAGTGAAGGCTGAACTGTTGGGGTGCATTGGAGTCAGGGCCCCTCCACTCCCTGACCTTCCTCTTACCACCAAGAACAAGCACAGGGCTAAGGAAGATCTTTCATGTCCAGGGAGCTCTGACACTGCTATCAAAAGCACCGATGGGACTGTGGCAAATGTCATGCCACCCTGTTGATAAAAGTTATTAAGCTCTTTCTCAGAAGTTTTTTGGCTGTTTGCCATGCCTCTGCTTCACAGTTTCCCTGCCCTAATGTATGAAAGTATTTGAATAACTTCTAGCATGTATTTATTCACGGTCAGATAGTAACCATGTATTGTACCAAACACAGTCCTCCAAGCAAATTGCAATACTCTACCATTGTGCAATGCAATGTATCCTCCTGGTGCATTTGAAAACACCAATGTGCCCTTGCTAGCCTGACACCCTGTTCTCACATGGGTCCCAGTAACCTTGTCCTGTTCCCAGCTGCGGTTGTTCTCCCTGGAGGCTGTTGACCAGCCTGTCACTGCTTCACTTACTGAAGCTGCCAGCTTCAGTGGGTCAAGATGACTCTGAAATTCATACTCATCTGCAGCCAGCACAGCATCTCAGCTTGAATGGGGACCCCTCTGCTGCTGCAAAGCAAACTCTAATTGCTAGCAGGAGGACCATGGAAACAGAGCACCTGATGGGGTAATTTCACCAGTAACAAGAAACTACGCAGAGCAAATTTGGCAGGGATTTACCAAAGACTTATCAACTGTGAGACAGAAACTGATGTCTGCAGAGCATTCCTGACAAATTCCTGTAAATTTCTCTACAACCATTTCCATTTCCTGGGTTATGAGGTTAGTTTTCATGAACGTCCCTGAATCACTGTTTACAATACTTTGTCGTTGGAATTCCATTGCTCACCCATCAGGGCACGTTACATATAGAACAAAGTGCTGAGGGGTGCCCAGGCACGGGGCTGTTTGCTGGACAGTGGTGTGTTTATTGAGCAGAGCCTTATCACTATTGCGTCTGTAGTGTCAACAATACAGTGGGAACTGCATAAAACTGAAAACAAACGGGCACTCCTATCGAAATTAGTTCAGCCTTATGTACACAGCTCAGGGAGAAGAGGTACAAAAAACCGTACAGCACAAGAACTGTTCTCCAGTAGCTCCTTTGGGGCAACAACCACCTCTGTGCAAGGCACCTCAATAGTCTTTATATGCCAGCACTTATTTACGGACCACTATTTTATTGGCAAGCCTCCAATCTCAGTCACACTGATGGGCCTAAAAAGAAGCCTTTGTTGCTTTGCACACCGTGCTGGAGCAAACAGCTACAGGATAAGGCTCTCAAGAGCAGGAGGAACCGGTCCAACTTGCTTCTCTGTCCCTGCTACACACACAGTTTTGCAAACACTGCTGCATTAACAGAAGCAACAGAGCTGCTCCTTTCCAAGCTTTCACTCAGTGGGAAATGGCTCTGTGTCACCACTGCTGTTGCTGGGCTCCTCAGGAAAAGCTTGAGAAGCTGTGAAATATGTGATGAGGGCTGGGTGATTGTGTAGGTAGAAAAGCCATGCAGAGAGAACGTGTGTGGGATCAGAGCTTGTGCATTACTCAGTTACATTTCATATGCTTGTTTTAGGAGGAAAGGTGTGCTCACGTTATTCCCGTGAAGATTAGAGCTATTGTTATTTATTAGCTTTGAACAAAGCTGGGAACAAAGACAGGGCCATGGCAGTCTCCTCCAAGCTTCAAGAGGAGCAACCACCTTCAAGTCACACAACCCTGAAGTCCTGGAGCCACAGACGCCAAACTTCAGTTCATTCTCAGCCTGTGTCTACAGCTGCTGTCCAGCTTGCTACTGGCACAGAGGCTGCAGAGAAACCTATGCAGGGCAAGAAGCCTCACAACCTCACTACATGGGAAGAGGTTAGGTGGTGTCACACCAGGCTGTAAACTCACATCCCTCTGCCAAACCACTCCCAAGAAGGAAAGAAGGGACTCCTACCTTCTTTAACATGCTTTTAGGATCCATGAGTTGGACTTATGCTTAAGGTGACACGTGGATTAAGGTCATCTATACCAAGCCCGCCCTGGATCCCACTTCATATCACCTCTGGGATGTTGCATGGCAAACTGGAGACATGGACTGATCCAGCTGAAGATTAATGCAGGTTTTGGGGCAGGTCAGATTTGTGTTCCAGCAGCGCTCAGTTGTACCTGCACAGCAGAGGGGACTGCACTAAGCAGCCAGGGCCTGTCACCTCTTCATTAGCAGGGTCACTAGCAAGGTCTGCATGAGCCAGGCTGTGGCAGGAGCACATGGAAGGGATCAAGCTCTGGCCGTTCCATGGCCTTCACAGACATTCAAGGACAAAGACACTTGCGGGCTTGCTGCCACTCCTTGCTTTTTATGGGATGCAGAGTTAAAGCCTAATCCTCCAGCCAGTCTTGGTCTCTTTCCATGTGGCTGCCACATCAACAGCAAGACAATTATCCTCACTGACCTGGGGACAGCACTGCCTGACTGCCAGCCATACACTGTCACAGGCCTTCAGGCTTGTTAACCCTCTTTTGGCAGTACAGAGAGAGAATGACCTGGTCGGTGCATGGCCTGCTCTGTAGAAAGGATTCTGTGAACAAGAGATCCCCACATACCTTTCTCTGGCTCCTTCAGGGTCCTCTTCACAAAATCCACAGCCTGAGCCACCTCCTGATCACTGCACACATCCATCTGTAGCACTTTCATGCGGTCTGACTTCATGTTCTTCAGCTCCCTGGCTCCATCTCCATTCTCATCCTGCTCAGCAGAACAGAAAGGTGTCCCACTAAGGTGGACCAAGAACAGTAATGCAGTTTGGGGCCAGGCATGTTCACATGATCAGGAAACAGAAGCTATTGACATTACATACAGAGGTGTAAACCTGGTGCACAAATAAGCACAGGATCCACACAAACCCACGTGCCTTCTATCTGTTTCCTCCAGCACCACTTCTATAACTGCATCGGTGACCCACTGCCGTGAGGGGCCATGAAGGCCCCTGCTGCTGGCTCCTCACATGATGGGTTTCACATCTGTAAAATGGTGAAATACTGTGCCAGCCTGGGAGAACTGTGGGCGACTCCACTGCCTCAGTCTTCACACTCTACAGGTGACACAGCAAACATAAGGAGATTGGAGTCAGATACTCCAGGCTTAAAAGCAAACACCTAATTAGACACTGTACTCATGTCATCTCAAAATACTGCCTGGGTTCTAATGAAATAGTATTGTCAGACCACTTTGAAAACAAGACAGCAGGCACCTCCTCAGCATGGCTAACAGCAAACAGTCTGATGTACAGGATACAGCAGGAAACATTCACAGCTCAACCTATACAATATTGTGCTCTTACTGCACAGCAGCACAGATGCTCAGTGGAGATGTGGTACACAACAGCACAATTACAGACATGAGGCATGAAAGGAGATTCTGGCTAAGGAAGAAAGAACAGAATTTTTTTTTCACACTATAGGCAATAAGAACATGATGGCTTTGCTTTCCTTTCTTTCCTCCCCACTCCACTGCTATCATTAGAGATTCTGTTACTGTTGTGGTGGTTTTTTGTTTATTCAAACATAAACACAGTTAAAATTCCAAACTTTACCTGCTCACTTCCAGGCAGGATTGCTGCCTAAGCCTTACAGCCTTGCTCAGGTGGTAAATAACAAATAAAAGTGAAAAGAGAACAGATTAGCCGTGCAGTTTCACAGTAGGCTTGAGATTTAATTCACAAAACTGTTCCCTGTGTCACAGGCTCTGCCTCTTTAGGGAGGAAGAAGTTATGAATTGGTGAGTCACCGTGCCTGGCTGCCACTCTTCCTTTAGCACTCCTTATCAACTCCCACAGCACGAGGGCAAACAAGGCGAGCGACCCTCCCACAGTCACCTGCTCAGCTGCCTCTGCAGACAGGCAGATATAAAAAATGTAACTGCTTAGTTTTTTATAAGTATCTCAGGCTATTTAATTAATACAGTATACAACATCTCATGTCCACCTTCAGTCCAGTGAACAATGACATGTAATGAAGGAAAAGAGACGAAATGTCCATCACAGCTCTGAGCAAAACAGGGCAGTCCTCTTAAAAATCAATATATAGTTACACTGCCATTATGACAATAGTAGGAACGAATTCCTGGCCCCATGGCTGCATGTTATTTCACAACTCATTTCCCAGTATCACTAGAACAGCAAATACAGCTTGAAGCTTTTCTCGTGCACATTGAACGTGATGTGGTGTTGCGTTGGCTTCTTATCTGGCCACAAAAACAGTCTCTGAAAGTGGCATTACAAGTAGCCAATAACATAGTCACCGAAACATTTTATTCCCTTTGAAACAGATGAAGGTTGTATGATGCCTGACTGTATTTCTGGAAGATGGTCTTGCATCTCCACTGAGTTATACAAAGCAACTTTTGGCTACTTAACAGTGAAAAACGTGGAGCTAATTCAGCTTGTACAGAGAGAGCTTTATGGTATCTACATAAAAATGAAAACGTAAGTATATCTGTATTCAAGTGTTAGTTGTCATTTCAGCACTGACAACACCTTTCCCTACATATTTTTTAATCTTTCACAATACTTATAAACTAAACAAGAAATATCTCAATTGTTTTTTTAGAAACAGTCATAGGACAGCAACTTAAAAATCCAACATAAATGGTTTGTATTGTTCATATCGAGATGAATTTTCCCCTATCACCCATGCAACTCTATCTGCAAAGTTACTTTCCCAGCTACAGTTTATTCATTGTTGACAAAACATATTGATTTTGGAAGACTGACTTGAATATGCAATATCAATTGGAACCACTTTTCATAGTTGTAGATACCACTTCAGCCACTATTTAACTGTAAAACAAAGTGCTCAACTCCTTTGTCCAGAAAACCTCTTCACAAATGAAGCAGCCATGTATTTGTATGGAAGCAACTGAACATCATCATATGTTCTGTGGTCTTCAGGGGCTGTAAGCACATTTCCTGTTGAGACACCCACATGGTACATCCTTCTTGTTTTTTTAATGGTAGATTTGCTGGCTGGGAAAACACCTGGAGAAGTTCCCATGGGACCAGCCAGGCTGTCCTCCCAGGGATGACCTTCCTGATTTTGGGATTCACCAGCAGGAGCCATGAATCAAGCGAGGTCTTGGGAGCAATGGCCCAGCTGCTCCTGCAAAGCCCTTCTCCCTCTCCCTTTGCTGTCACTTTGTCTGATTTTTGTCCTCTCAGAGAATCTCCCAGCTTCCTCTTCCCAGTTCCTTCAGAGTTGAAAGCCATCCTGCTCCAGCCCAGCCTGCTGCCTAAGTACTCTCCAGAGGCCTTCAGCAGGACTTTGCCATTTCCTCCCAGCTATCTCCTTTCCCCTGGTTATCCTGCCCTCACAGCCCTGCACGGCTCTGCCTGCCCATCCCACCCTGTGCTCAGCAGGGGCTGCTCCAGGCCAGGAAACCCAACAGCCCCACAACCCCTCTCTACCCAGCTGAGGAATCTTGCTCCAGCTTTTGGCTGCTTCCCCTTCCCCTTGCTCGCTCCTCTCCTCTGATCTGGTTTGGAGGATCCCAACGCAGTGGTGCTGAGGAACAGGCAGATCACACAGGCATTTGTTAGCAGAGAGCCCTCCTGTAACAGACATAGCCATGGCTTTTTCCCAGGGAAGCTCATGGGATTCAGGATTAAGTTCTGGCAAGCACTCAGGCACCTGCAGTGAGATGTCAGGGGGAATCAGGAAGCCACAAACACAATGCTGAACACCCGTGGATCCAGCCAGCCTGCTCTATCTGCGCCAGTTCCTCCCCACCCTGCTGCTGCCCATCCACCCGCTCCCTTCCTGCGTTTCCTGAGCGGAACACCTCGTGCTTGTCCTTACTGGATTTCACGTAATTGATTTGAGAGTCCACCCGATCTGTCAGGATCATTTTGAACCCTATCCCCCAAAGGGGCTACAGTCTTCTCTGCCTGGTTCTGGGCATATTTTTTTCAAAGTGAAAATTCTCTTCCAGAGGGTACTTCCAAGAAAATGGTCCTGGGACTGAACTTAGAGCACAAGTCACTTAGAGCACAAGTCACTTAGAGCACAAGTTTACTCATGAGACTATCATGAGGGACTGTAACAAAATGTGATTCAGGATACATTTATTCCTTTCTCTTTAACTACCTTGCTGCTTAGCCAGAATAGGATTAGACTGACAGGGCACAGTCTGTTCCCAGTAAACTTACACAGACAGTGTCCATCACACTGTGATCCCATCATTTGTAAAACTGACAGAGCAGTGTGTGGCAATTGCATCTAGTGCACCGAAGGTGAGCTGCCTGGTAGGCAATTTCAGAGGTCTATCTCCTTTGGGAAGGGAAGTACAATATCTGCCCTCTTCCTGCCTTTTGGAAATCTCCTGGCCTCCAGGTGCTCTGGAAAGTATCACCCATGGGGCAGAAATCACAATGGCTCATCCTTTAAATGCCCATCAGTACATTTCATCAGGCCTGATGAACTTGAACATGTTTTATTTATCTAAACATTCCCTGCTCTTTACCTTTTCTTGCCTGCATGTCCTCATGACAACTGCTGGCAGTAGGCATCTGAAAACAATTTATTCTTTTCTCAGTAGGATCAAAGAACAGAAGACGATTATTTTAACTTTTGTTGTACTTTCTACATTTCGGGTTACTTTATAATCTGTTTCTGTGTGCTTTTTCATCTTAATCCTAAAATATTAACAGAAACTTTGTCTGTGGGCTTACCTGCACTTGCTAAATGTAATCCCTTTTGCATTTGATCCTCTCCAGTTCTATCCCAGCCTGCCTGAAGTATTCTTGTTATTCCTGTAACTTTATATTTGACTGTCTGATCAGTAAGAAGTCCCTGATGCACCTGACAGTCTATTACCTTGTATTTAATACAAGAGCTTTCTGTAATGGTTAGTACATTAGGGATCCTTTAAGTCTCTGTATAAAAGCATGTAAGTAAGTGATGATGGACTAACTAGGTGTGAACTAAGAGTATGGCACCAGCTTTATGACAACTGCCCCCACACCTGCTCTGACCCTGCAGGGAAGCTACAGCAGCTCACAGTCAATAAAGCAAGCAAGGCTCACTTCAGGAGCATTTAATATCTTTATGTGGCTTCCAGCAGAGCCTTTCCCTCTCTGCTCCACACGCTGCCTTCCGAACAGCCCCCTCAGCCTGCCCTATCTCCCCTCTCCTTTCTGTTCCCTATATCTGCTGCTCTGCAAAGTGAGTGCCTGAATTGCTATCAGCACAGACAGGCATCCCAAAGCAGCGTATGACATGATTACTGAAGGAATTACACAAAGCCTCCATATGGAAATTTCCAAACAGTGGCAATTTTCCAACAGGACTCTCTTGCTGTCAAGTTACACAATATGTCAGCTGATAATAACTTTCCCTTCTGGTGTGGGGGAAGAACGTAACCTCTGCCACGATCACACAAGGCAAAGAGGGGCACTTTTGTTCATTCTTACTCTCCACAGTACTCAAAAATCTGTGGTCATCACTCCCTGAGCACCTGTGCTGAAATGGCCATCTTCAAATGGAGACATGAGTGGCTATGAACTGATCTTGAACAATCCAGGTCAGAAATTACATGAGTTTTGACTATCAAAATAGCAAAAAAACAAAGCAGGGGTAAAATCCCAGCTGAGATGGAAGTGAAGCTGACCCAGTTTATAAAGAGGACTTCATAACACTAAGTTGTAAGTGTCATGCAAGAGCAGGGACTGTGGGATGAGGGGTCTGCAACCCCTTTTGATTCAGTGTGTCTAAACCTATCTCTTACAAGTGATGCCTCCCATCAAACACAGAGACCTACAAACAAACACAGAGACCTACAGATGTCAGAAAGGTACAGTAAATTTGTTTATTCAGGTATCCAGAAACCAAATAGCTTCTACAGAAGCTGCAGAAGCACAGTTAGAAGACATTTTGGAAACAGAGCCTGAATAATGCAGGAGAGACAGCTTAAAAATGAGTTTGAGGAGCAAGTCCACAAAAGTGACAGTGTGAAGGACAGCAACAAGGATGCCAGGGAAGTCAGAAAGCCATAGTGCCACAGCAGTCCTGGCCTGTCAGATTTATTGAGTGTGCTGTGGTATTGTTGAGAGGCTTCTAGCAGTGAGCAGTGCCCTGCTGTGCAAGCTACTGTACAGATATGCAGTTGACAGACAAACCCTGCCATAAAGAGTTCAGAATTACGGGAATGACAAAATGCAACAGGCACATGAAACAATGTAACATGTAACAATCCGTGCCCACTGCACCTCTCTCAGGTCTTGGGTTGGGGTAAAAGGAGACTGCTGATGAAAATGTTTTGACTTGAGAAGCACTTTTCTCTAATCAGAGAAGAATTTTGATCGATATCACTACTCACCATGAGCAAGCATCCAGCGAAAACAGTAAATCCCTTTGCATGAAGGTGTTTTGCCAAGGCATGTCCAAAACCTTTGTCACAGCCTGTTATTAGCACCGCCTTCCCTTCAGCCTGCACGGGAAAGACAGTCATACAATATCTTGAGACACTGTATGGAGGCACCACCAGCACCCTGCCCCACACCATAGGAGCCGCCTGCAGCCAGGGCCAGACACGGTTTAGGAGGTACAATTCCAGATGCAAGTCACAGTGGCACCTGTCTGCACACGAACCTGACTGCAGCCTAATCCCAGTAATTTCAGTGGTTCAACCAGCGTAAAGGAGGTGACAAGACTGTAGTGTAGAAACACAGCCAGCTCCCAGCTACTGCGAAATCCTAAATTTATTCAGTTGCTGGCCTGTAACAATTTGTGTTGCCTTGATACCTGAGCTAGAACAGGAACTCTTTCTTTCAAGTGGCAGTAGCCAAAGGAGAACAGAAACATTTAAAAAGAAGTTAATGATCTACCAGCTCATAGACATTATAAGAAAAAGCAGCACAGAAAACATCCAAATGGCAGGATGTCACTGGCTTGAACAGTACAGCAGCTCTTTTAGCTGCCAGTGACGGCTGTCTGTCCCCCACCTACTCCCACTCTATGCGGCACTTTCCTTGCTGTATTTTAGCACGAAGGAATGTGACTGCAGGTTAGAGTTTCCTTCTGAAACTTGTCAGTCTTAAAAGGAATAACTTCTCAAATCCTACAGTTCTCTCCTACATCATTATTGTCTTTTGACTGACAGATAAATTGAGAGAGAAGATTTGATGTTCCATCTGGTATGACACAACAGGCTTGAGAAATCCCAAATCCAGAATTCCAAATCCTGAAGAGAAGCCCATTCACCCTCTGTCTTTGCTTGAAAGTCATCCTCTCACCACAGCTGTGAGGCAACGAACCCCTAACGCTTAACCCAACTGGCAGGCTGCCAGCTGCTGTGCTGCACAACGCTCCAAGCTGGAACCATATCCATGAGGCAATAGTGTGATATAGCAATAAAAGTCTAGAGGATGCAATAAGGAAGTGAGGTCAGTTCCATCTCTACGGAGATATCTGCAACTAATATTCCCTGTTACTGTATCCACAACGGCTGGAATATGAACATACTTATGTATTAAGTGCATTGGCTTGTCCAGCCACTTTTTCAGACAGAAATGGGTCAATCACCATTGCTCTCTCATCTCTTGCTTTGCTGACACTCAGTGCAGTGAAGCAGCAATAAGGGATAATTGCAGGGTGATAGTGATCAGAGCATTACTGCACAAACTCAGGTGAGCCTAAGCAGAGAGCAATAAGCAAATAAGCTACACCCAGTCCTATAACTCATGTTGAAGTTATTGCTCTCAAAGGGGAGTCACGAGCTGAAGTTGAAACAAGAACTGATCAAAAGTCTATCCTGCATTTTTCATACAAACACCCACATTAACACCAACTCCTGTTTCAGACAAAGAGTACCCAGCTACAGACTAGCTCTACTAAAGCTCTGAAGATAGCTATAGCTAAAGGACAAAATATAAGTGAGAATTAAATATACAGTGCTCAGACTTAATTTAATTGACAGTGACACAACTCCAAGAGAGATGAGAATCAAGCATGAGCCAGATCACAGAATTTGTCAGCCACCTCCTGCAATAACTCAAGCAGCTGGCCCATGGAAAGAAAAAGACTATTCTTCCTCTGCCTCACCTCCCTAGCCCCTTTGCTTCTGAATCCTGCAGACAGAGAACTTCACAAAAAAGCAGGAACCGTGAAGGAAATAAAGAACTACAATCACTTCCAGAACCCAGGAAAAGCAAACAAAGAAGATACCCAATGTTCAGCCATCATTAGTTCCTTTGCAGCTGGTGTGATCAGGACAGCTCAACTGCAGGAGATAAAAGCAGACGGCTGGGGTGTGCTCCCCTGTGCATCTAGTTTTAGCTCTCAGCAGCTGGTTTGCTTTCCCTAGTTAAAAAAAAAAATCCCCAAACAAACCACCAAAATGTAGACAGAAAGGAGGAGATTTAAAAATCCTCTCAGCTGCCTATAAGAGCAAGAAAAGTGAGGAACAACTTACAGTATGAGAACCTACAGTATGAGAAGGTTCCTGTGATTATTCATTAATTATTTGCCATGACCCTAATTGCTGGTAATAAAACACGACTACAGCAGCATGGCTCCTAACAGCCTGAGGTCTCAGCAGCACCCACAAGCTTGCAAAAACCCAAGGGATGTACTGGATCTCACATCTGTACCTGCACCTGTTTGTGCCGTGCCTGATGGACAAAGAGCTCCAAGGGAGGAGAGCAGGAATCAACCCCATTCCCAGTAAAAAAGATCCTATCCTAGAAAAACTTCCAAACAGAGACAAGCCCAGTTATCCTTATCTTTTGAAAGGATAAGGTCCGAAGATAAGGCCTAATGGGCCTGTTTCTGGAGTTTGATAAGGTCAGTCTGCAGTTTACAGTCTGGTTCAGTGCTGGGACAGGCAGAGAGGACCAGCTATCAGCACAGTGACCTTAATGAGCTTTCTGAGGAACTTCAGCTGCCTCCTTCACTCACGTTTATGCAGAGCTCAGGAAACACTGTACAGGGGACAGCTCTCACACACAGTGCTGACAGGGCACCTGGGACCTGCTACAAGCACAAAATAACTTGTGGTACCAGAGGTGCTGCTGTGGCATGTGAGCAGAGTAACACTGCCTGTGTCCTTGCTGTGTGATCCACGACACTGTAATATACAATCCTCACAGTTCAAACAGCCCCAGCAGGGTAGCCTGATTTTAACCTGCAGCCAGCTCAGATGCACACACCTCACTAGCTTTTTCTACCGGGAATGACTGCTTTATTACGTTGTAGAATTAATTTTACTAATGCAGGTGATCTATCAAAATTATATATGTTTATTGCAGAACAGGCTGGAGAAACTGAATCTACTTTGTCAGCCTGTCTCCGTAGACAATGTGGGAACCCACCATGCTTGCCTAGACTTTATCTTCTGTTGTGCCACTTGTTTTTTGATTCAGTTCCCTTTTATGCTCTACCCTGACATTATCAAACAGATTGATTTGAAGATGGGTGCAGCTACACAGCAAACTCGGCTTGTTTCCTTTTTCCAGGGTTGGAAAGTTGAGGTTTTCAATCCCAGGAAAAAGAACTGAAAACATTCACTGTGGTGGTTTGAAAAACCTTTTCTCTGGGGTAGTAATGGTTTGCCCCACTGATAATACTGGACCAATCAATAGTCCACGTGCGCCCTACGGAAATTACATACCCACAGAAACGTGGGGGAAGGTATTTTTCCAGGTGGGACAGGGATGCAGAAGGTCAGAGGAGCAGAGTGGACGGAAGAATGAAGTGGGACACTACGAACAGGCTACAGCTGTTATCTGTTATTTCAGGGGGGCAGGACTGAGCTGGAGGCCCTGAAGCAAAAACATTGACCCAGAAAGCCAATTTTATCCTCGGGCACATCAAAAGCAGCATGGCCAGCAGGTCAAGGGAGATGTTTCTGCCCCTCTACTCCACTCTGGTGTGACCCCACCTGCAGTGCTGCATCCAGATCTGCCGTCCTCAGCACAGGAAGGACATGGACCTGTTGGAGCAAGTCCAGAGGAGGCTATCAAATCGATCAGAGGGATGGAGCACCTCTCCTATGAGGGAAGGCTGAGAGAATTGGGACTGTTCAGCCTGGAAAAGAGAAGGCTTTGGGGTAACCTAATTGCAGCCTTCCAGCACCTGAAGGGAATTTACAGGAAAGATGGGGCAAGACTGTTTACAAGAGCATATAGTAACAGTACAAGGGAGAATGGGCTCAAATTGAAATACAGTAGGTTCAGATTAGATATTAGGAAAAAAATTTTACTTGAGGGAGGTGAGGCACTAGCACAGGTTGCCCAGAGAAGCTGTGGGTGCCCCATCCCTAGAAGGGTTCGAGGCCACGTTGGACGGGGCTTGGAGCAACCTGGTCTAGTGAAGGGTGTCCCTGCCCACGGCAGGGGGGTGGAACTGGATGATCTTTACGGTCCCTTCCAACCCAATTCTCTGATTCTATCAACACACTCCCCTCCAAGTGAGGCACACCGGGGTGCACAGCGGAGCAGCCGCCGCGCCGCGGGGTCCGAGGGCAGCGCCCGCCGCACCACGGACCGGCCGAGCCCCGCGGCGGGTCTGCACTGCCCCGGGCCGTGCCCAGCTCGGCGCTTCGCCCCCCTCGCACTGTGTGCCCGGCTCCACCAGCCCGGCCCCGCCGCTCCGGCTGCGACACCATCCCCGGCCCGGCTACACGGCCCGGCGCCATTTTGGGCCCGGGGGCGCTCGGGCGGGCTGTGCCCGGCGGGCCGCGGCCCCTCTCCGCGGTACTCACGGGCAGGGCGCGGCGAGCCCGCCGCGGCAGGAGGAGGCGGAGGACCAGCAGCCCGGCAGCGCCCAGCGCCAGCAGCAGCCCCGCCGAGCTCCCCATGGCCGCAGCCTATCGCCGCCGCCGGCCCGGCCCTGCCCCCGGCCCGCCCCCCGCCGCGCCCGGCACCGCGGCCCCGGCCCAGCCTCATTCAAACGGCAGCAGCGTCCGGCACCCGCCGGTCCAGGTAACGCGCGGGCGGGGGATGGGTCCCGGTACCCTGGTGGAGCCCTGACAGCCGGTCCGCGCGGCGACCTTGCCCGCGGCGGACGGGGGGCTCCGGCATCTCCCCAGCGCGGCCCCCGCCCGCAGCGCCCCACGCGGGCCGGGCCGGGCCGGGCCGCGCCCCCTCGGTCCCTCGGCCGCGTTCGGGGCCGCGGCAGCCGCGCCCCGGAGAGGGGCTGGGCCGGGCTGGGGGGCCCGCGGGGACCCCGCGCCTCGCCCGCTCCGTGTAAACCTTCTCGCAAAAAACCGCGGGGCACCAGCCGAGCTCCAAAATTTGATCAAACCACCGGGATTTCTGAGGATTAACCAAGCCAGCGTGTCCTCCTGAGCCCGCACCGCTCCGTCCCTCCGCAGCTCGGTGCCCACCGCTGCTGTTTTTGCGGTAATCCCGCTGTCTTTCAGCCCGGGCCTGGCTCCCAGCAGGCCCTGGAGCTGCCGCGGCGGCGGCCCAGCCTCCGGCACAGATGCAAACAAGCCCTAACAATTAGATCGCGTTTCTCGGCTTCAATAAAGGAGGCTGTGCGTTAAGCTGGGGAAATGTTTTTGTTTTGGTTTGGGGGTTTTTTTGTGCCATGGATCAGTTTCATCCAAGATAAATGTGATTGAAATTGACTTTCCATAACTAAGTCTTGTTCTTTAGCTGTTTTCACCCTGTAGTGAGTTTAATGGTGGTTCCCTGTGCTTAGTCCAGTGTAAACAACTACTTAATTGCAAAGAAACGTATTTTTAACTGTAAAGCCCAAGGATTCCTTTGGAAATATGTAACATGACATCACCTGTGACTTGAAGTTATATTTTAGTTTAAAATTGTTTCATATAGCTCACTTGAATAATACATTCCATGTAAGTACCTTAATTTTTACCTGTTTCAGAGAATACAGTTAAAGGTGCAATAAAGGAGAAATTCACATTTTGTTTAGATGCCTCCCTGCTTGGTACTTTACTTATAATGCTTTTCCTTATTTAAAAGCATCTTGAAGCGGTTCAAGGTTGAGCTGTTTATCTCAGCATGAGGAACTGCAAGGGGAAAAGATGAGTTCCTTTGGACTTTATTTTCTTGTTGAAATACGTGGAGTCAGCATGTCTTACAAAATAACTGAGCAACTAAAACAGAGGTGCTATCTTGTGTTGCAGAGCTAAGGAAGAACAGTCTTGCTGTTGGTAGAGTGCATTA